TAATCCATGATCGAATTTTTTGTAATCCATGATTGAATTTTTTGAAAATTTGGGATTTTTTTTTTTAATCCATGATCAAATTTTTTTTTGTAATCTATGATAGAATTTTTTGAAATTTTGTGATTTTTTTTTTAATCCATGATTGAATTTTTTAAAAATTTGTGATTTATTTATTGTAATCCATGATCGATTTTTTTGAAAATTTGTGATTTTTTTTTTAATCCATGATCGAATTTTTTTTGTAATCAATGATCGAATTTTTTGAAAATTTGTGACTTTTTTTTTTTCCCATGATCGAATATTTTGAAAATTTGTGATTTTTTTTTTTAATCCATGGTCACATTTGTTTTTGTAATCTACGATCGAATTATTTGAAAATTTCCGATTTTTTTTTTTAATCCATGATCGAATTTTATGAAAATTTGTGATTTTTTTTTTTAATCCATGATCGATTTTTTTGAAAATTTGTGATTTTTTTTTTAATCAATGATGGAATTTTTTTTGTAATCAATGATTGAATTTTTTGAAAATTTGTGATTTTTTTTTTTAATCCATGATCAAATTTTTTGAAAATTTGTTATTATTTTTTTAATCCGTGATCGAATTTTTTTTTCTAATCAATGATCGAATTTTTTTAAAATTTGTTAATTTTTTTTTTTAATCCATGATCAATTTTTTTTTGTAATCCATAATCGAATTTTTTGAAAATTTGTTGTACTTTTTATTTTTATTTTTATTTTATCCATGATCGAATTTTTTGAAAAATGATGATTTTCCGAAAAGAGGTGAAAATTGTTATAAGGTTTTGATTATCATGATGTATTAAACCCAATTATTAATTTTTATTGTTTGAGTTTGCTGTACTTCTTTTTTTTTTTTTCCATGATCGACTTTTTTGAAAAATGATGATTTTTCGCAAAGATGTGAAAATCGTGACAAGGTTTTAATTATCATGAGGTATTAAACCATATTTAAAATTTTTATTGTTAAAGTTTTTGTTGAAAATTTTTTATGTTGGATAGATTATTTATGCAAAAAAATGCATGTCATTATATTTTTAATGCAAAACTGTATTTTTTTAATCTGTTGTTAATGCATTTTTTGGTTGGAATCAGTGATGTTAGGTGGCGCTGTGAAGAATTGTTTTTATTATTAATTTTTTAATACAAAAAATGTATGTTCTTGATAATTGAGTTGTAGCCATGTTTGGAGCTTGCATTTTGTATTATATTATCCTGAATGTTTGTAATTGATATGTACGAAAATATTATTGTCAATAAAGGTATTTTGCAATAACAAATAACAACAAATATGACTACATGAACTACCCCAACATATTATCACTACACATGATGATTATTTTTCTTTTTGAACTGTCAGGTTAATTTTATACTTTTTACATCTTAAAACAGTTGAATCATGTCAAGATCTGCAGAAGACCCTGCATGGCAACATGGGGTCAAACTTGATCCCAACAAAAAAGACAAAATTATTTGTAATTACTGTCAAAGAGTGATAAGTAGTGGGGTACATAGGTTCAAGCAACACTTGGCAGGGGTTAAGGGAGATGTTTCTGCATGCATTAGTGTCCCTAGTAATGTAAAAAAACAGATAGCGGTAATTCTTAATGCTAACAAAAGTAAAAAAATTGCCAAACATAGGATGAATGAGGAGATAGCTAGTTTATATACGCCATCAAGCAGGAATGATACAGAAGAGCAATATAATAATGACCTACAAGAGCAATATAATAATGACCTAGACATAGCCACAAGATTGAGTTTACATGAACAATATCAGAGGGAACGTGGGTTTAGAATGCCCGGTGGGTCTAGCTCAGACATGCATGGTGGGCCTAGCTCAGACATGCATGGCGAGCCCAGCTCGAGCATGTATGGCGGGCCCAGCTCAATTATGTATGGAGGCGTTGGTGGCAATATGTATCAAGGAGAATCAAATGTTGAAGAAATTGTTTCTAGGTTATCTAAGAGTACTAGTATTGCAGGTCATGGTCGTAAAGACCCATTTCTCTCAAAGCCTAAGTCACAACATATGACCCTAAAAGGCATGGTTAAAGGTACAAGAAACATGTTGGGGAGATATGTTGGCAAATGGTTCTACGATAAAGGGATTCCCTTTTATGCAGCCAATAGCCTATATTTTCTACCTATGGTCAGTGCAATCCAGAGAGTCGAGCTTGGGGTAAAACCCCCGACGGCATATGAGCTCAGTGGGCCAATACCAGATGAAGAGGTGGAGGAAGTTATAAAGTGGATTGAAGAATATAAACAGAGTTGGCCAAGGACAGGCAGTACTCTCATGAGTAATGGTTGGTCGAAAAAAGTTAGCAAAAAGGAGTTTTTAAACTTCTTGGCCTATTCCCCAAAAGGTACAGCTTTTTTGTCTAGCAAAGTAGTATCAGGGACGAAGAAGGATGCAAACTTCTACGTACGACTATATGATCAGATAGTGGAGGAGGTGGGAGATAAGTCTGTAGTCCAGTTTATTACGGACAATGCGCGTGCATGTGTTTCTGCGGGCAGCAAGTTGATGGATAAGAAGAAGCATCTAGTATGGACCCCGTGTGCTGCACACAGCATCGATCTTATGTTAGAGGAGATCGGTGAGATCAAAATTGTGAAGGAGACTCTAGAGGAAGCAAGGTTGGTGTCGAGATTTATATACAACCACTCTAAAATTTTATTTCTGTTTAGAGAACACTCTAAGAAAAAAGAGATAATCAGGCCTGTCATAACCCGCTTTGCAACCGATTACTTAGCTGTGGACTCCATTCGAGAATCTGAAGGTGCATTAAAGAGATTGTTTACCTGTGAAGAGTGGTTAAATGACCGCCTCTCAAAGTTCAGTACTGGTATAAAAGTGGACAACATAGTCTCAAATAGGCGGTTCTGGTGTCGATGTTCCAGTGTTATAGAGGCCACTGCCCCTTTGGTCACGGTGTTAAAAATGGTGGATGCTGACAAGAAAGCTACCATGGGTATCCTTTATGAAGGTATGAGAGGGCGAAATTGCTATTGGAGAGAAATGTAGTTTTGCTAGCAAAGTGATCGAGATTATAGAAGGAGGTGGGAACACCTAAATTTGGGACGTCCGAAT